TAATGGCAGGTTTGTTGCGCAGACTTATCTGAATATTCTAGAAAACATCTCGTTTCCCAGTGTAGAGCAGTTGTATCCAGAAAATCATCTTATCCTTCTACAAGATAATTCTCCTGTTCACACTGCAAATATAATAAACCAATGGCTCCAGAATAACAACATCGAAACATTACCATGGCCCAACTACAGTCCAGATTTAAACCCAATTGAGAATGTGTGGGGGGTTATTATAAAATGGTTGTATCGGCATAACTTTATACCTCAAAATGCTGAAGAGCTGTGGTACGGTATACATAGGGTGACCATATGTACTTTTTTTAGTAGGACAGTACTTTCTTTTCAAACGCTGTCCTATTGTACTTTAAAATTTATGAAGTACACCTAAATGTACTCTTTTTCTTAATTACACAAAATTAAGTCCTACTTTTTGTCCAAACAAAATATAATAAATTATGATTCGAATTGATGCGCTCACTGTGGATTAGTCTATTAACCTTTTTTCTTAAATTCCGACACTTTTTCTCGTTTTTTTATATTATTTTGTGCTGTGTGAAAAAATAAACAATTTCATCATGTCACCGCCTAGAAGAAAATGTCATTTTAACGTCGAGTTGCAAGCAGAGTATCCTTTTATGAAACAAAAATCAAATGTTTCACCGCATATTGTGTTTTGCCAAGTTTGTAAAAGTGATGTTGATATTTTTAACAATGGTCGCAGTAATATCAAACAACATTTGTCAAAGAAAAAACACATGTTGGCTACTAATGCGAACTCAAAGAGCAGCAAATTGGAAACCTTTGTTAAAAAAGAAAATTTAAGTTCTGAAAATATGTTGATTGCTGCCAAGAAAGGTACTTTTGCTTACCATAAAATTAAGCATTTGCAAAGTTTCGGATCCTTAGACTGCACGTCAAAACTAATTGTAAGCATGTTTAAACCTAAATTTGCGGCAGCTCGAACCAAGACTGAGGCAATTATAAAAAATGTTTTAGCTAAAGAGGCTCAATCCCAATTAGAAATTGACCTTCGAAAAGCAAATTAGAAATTGAACTTCGAAAACCAAATTTCGTCAGCATCACAATCGATTCGTCGAATCATAGAGAAATTATAAAGTTGTGCCATTAATGGTAAGATATTTTGATGGAGAAAATGGTGTCCAAGTAAAATTACTTTAGCTACGTGACTTACCTGGTGAAACATCAGAGCAGTTAAAAGATTACGTGGTCAATGTTTTGAACCACCATAACTTACTACAAAAATGCATCGGAATGTCTGCTGATAATACAAATACAAATTTTAGTGGAATGAGAAAAAAAGGAGTGAATAATCTATTCAGCAAATTAAATGCTTCTCGTGATAAACCCGTGATTGGAATTTGTTATGTGGCACATATTTTTAATAACTGTTTACAAAATGTGACGGTCGTCTTAACCATAGACATCGAGGTTATTGCGGTCAAGATTTTTAAGTATTTCTATATTTTACAGTCAGAGTGTAGAAATTAAAAGAGTTTTGCGATTTTGTTGATATCGAGTACAAAGATGTTGTCGTTTTCAAAAACAAGATGTTTGAGCCTAATGCCAGCCATTGAACCAATTATACAAATGTTCGAACCCTTGAAAGCTTATTTTTTGTCGATTTATAATTGTCCAACAGTTCTAAAATTTTTTTTTCAAAACCCAATCAGTGAAGCATGGATGTGGTTTGTGCATAACATTGCGTCTCTCTTCAACAAAGTGATTTTAGATGTAGAAGGTGACAAAATATGCGCAACGGAAGCCGCTTTGGAGTATTTCGATTTTATAAATAAGCTTCAAAATCGCTTAAATAAGTTATTTTTGCCGCTTAAAGTAAGAGAGTCCCTTTCAAAACTTGAAAATATGGAAGACCTTGACCTTAGTGTGAACTATCGGGATATCTTTATCACGCATGTCAAGCAGTTCTATTCAAATTGTGTAACATATTTAAAAAACTGGAGTGAAAATTTAAGTGAACTAAAGCTATTTGGATGAGTTAACTTGAAAAAACAAGTTTCTTGGGCTGAAATTTTATCGTCGTGTCAGGCTTTCAAAGACTACATAGGTCCGATATTGAATCAGGACGAACTGTTTGATGAAGTTAGTCTAATACGAACCTACGTTACAGAAAATAAAATCACAGATTGGAATTCGAAAAATATTTCTACCGAAGGTCGATGGCTCGAAATCTTCCAAAAAGAAAGGGCTTTGAAAAATCTCAAAATTATATGTGAGTTTTTTGTCTGCCGGGACCAGTGCGTCGATTGAGCGGAGTCCCAACAAATCGCAGTTGAAAATATCTACTCTGGAAGCCATCATTTAAGTCTACACAAACTTCAAAGTTTCGAGTAATGAAATGTTTCAGTTCTGAAAGAGTAAACCAAAACTTCTGAAGGAAATTCGTATTTCCAAAAAGTACGACTGGTACCAAATGATGATCAAGATGTTCAGAAAGAAACGTCGAAAGAAAATTAACTATTGAAATTTATCATAAATTTTTTATGTACTTATGTTTGATTAAAAAAATCGCTCTTACTTATTATTGTTTCATTAAAGATTCGTAAAATTTGACTTTTTTGTCAAAAAAAGTACTTTTTTTTTGTCGAAAAATTATGGTCACCCTAGGTATACAACAGGTTTGGAAAGACTACAAGCTGTTATCAATGCTGATGGAGATATTACAAAATATTAATTTTATTTTTACATACCTAAATTTAGATTTAGGTATCGAGGGTCTGCTTTTCCAGACCCTCGATTTCTTTCGCGAGTTTCTTGTTCCCTCCATTTTTTATTAATAGAAAAACTGTGGTTCTGCTTTCTGTTAAAATATTTGCTGCCTCTGATAGTGCCCATTTATCTTTTAATTTAGTTACAATTCTTGCTTTAATATATTGTTGAGTTAAGTCGTTTGGTTTATTTCTTCATTATGATAAAAATAATAACAACAACCCCATTCTATGTAAAAACTATCATTTATATACTCTTTATAAAATGCAGGAATTCAAAATAATATCAAAATATTTAGACCTTAATAATTATTACAATTTATGAATTAACATATATTTAATAAATTCTTTGTGTATTTATTTTAATATTTGTCTGTCATAATAAATATAATATAATGTCAGACCAAGGATTAAGGCAGGGTGATCCTTTGTCATCAATACTCTTCAATTTAGGTCTAGAAAAAATATAGCGAGAAGCCAAAATCAATAGAGAAGGACTCCTATATCGCAAAAGACACCAAGTGTTGGCATTTGCGGATGATGTAGTGTTGCTGGCAAGAGGGAAAAATAGCTACAGGAGATAGTACAGAGAATAGTAATAGCAGCGAAGAAAATGTTACTTTACATAAATGCAACTAAAACAAAATGTATGCAGTGGACAGATGATCAGTTCTGGGATAAACAAAAGTTTAAAGTAGAAGTAGAAGAAGGATCATCATATGAATTCGAAATGGTAGAAAGATTTACATACCTAGATGCAATAATATCACGTAAATCTGACATTAAAGAAGAAATACAAGCTAGAATAATGGCAGGCAATAGAGGTGTACAAGAAAGGAATAATAAGGGACGGTTTATGGATAAGAAGAGTTAAAGGAATTATATAATCAACCTAATATTAATAGGAGTCATAAAGGCACAGAGACTTAGATGGCGAGGTCACCTAGAAAGGATGCCGAACAGGAGTACTCCAAAAAGGATACTAAACTCCTTATAGCTTCAAAAAAGAGAAAAGGGAGGCCAAAAATAGATGGAATCAAGAGGTAGAAAAATATATGGGAAAAATTGGGCTAGAAGGCCAGAAAAGAAAAATGAATAACAAGAAGGAATGGAGAAAAATCACATATCGAGCCAGAGAAGATCTCAGTACATAAAGAAAAGCAAAAATGAAAAAATAACAAACTTTTCAAGCCATCGACATCCAAGACCTTTAGTGCTATTGTACATATGTATATATAATGTCAGACCAATTAATTACACTGCTCAAAATGATCAAATCTTACTAAAAGCCGTCAGTTTTTTTAGGAAACAATAAAAAACCGAACGCACTGTTTTTCACAATATACTACTTTAACTGTATAATAAAATTATAACCAAACTTTAGACATAGATTTAATAACCCTTGATTGATACGGTAATAATTAAAGAAAGTTACAAATCTGGTATTTTAACAATTAGAACAAGAACGAAAGCAAGAACGTAGCAGTGAGTGTGTTACATAATAAAGTAGTTGACACCTGCTTTTCACACTGACAATAATTAAGTGTTTTTATTGGTGCAGCTTTATCAAAAGTTGTGTCCATCCCTAGACATTCACAGTTTTTCAGAATGGTCAATAGTCCCAATACAGCTGGTACGCGTATCTAGAGAGGAAACGAACGTTCAAGGATATTCTTATTCAGATAAAATTTAACAATTTAACGTGGGTAAATTTATTTCCAGCGTAATTAATGAGTAGGCAGAGAGTATGACACTGAATCTAATAAATATTCCCTATCGATATCTCTTTATAATTACATGTATGAGTTTTGAAGTACCTGCAATCAGTAGCGTACATTTTTCTAGTAGAGCTTTACCATAAACCTGTCTTGTTACAAAAAAAACATGTGCATTTAAATAAATTAAGGAGATATATCAAGTTATATGAGTTATTGGTGACAATAATTTTATTTAAATACTTATCTGAGGTTTTATATAGTAGTCATTCATAATTCTAACAAGAGGTACCAATGAATATGATAGATAAATGCAAAAATGTTTTTTCAGCTTGTCTTGTACAAGTTACATTGACAAAATTGTTTTACAAGTTACATTGACAATAAAAAATTGTTGTCACTGACCATAAGAAATGAATTATTGACACAGAGTAGGCATGAGGTTGATAACATTACAATTTTTGATGCAAAACGGAAAAGACATGCCTCTCTGAAAAATGTGAATGCTACTAGTTACAAAGCGGGGAAAAACACGTTAATATCATTTGTACTGTACGTTTTTTTTATGAGTTGATTTTTCTACTTTTGCAAATCTAATAAACTAAATAAAAACTAGAACGTATTCAAATTAATAATAAATCTTCCTACAGTTGTTTCAATTAAAGAGTACCATGGTGCATTGTTGATCATTCCTAAGGATAAGGATTACAAAAAAACAACTGTTGCATCAAAGCAACGAGATTCAAAAAGAAAGAATCTTAACAATAATAACTTTCATTAGACAATGATTATTGACTAGCACTTTACTGCACACCAGAGTAGGAAATTACTAATAGGTATATAATATATAACAATATCATTAAAAGCAATTTAAGATAGGAACGGAAAAATAATCAAAGATAAACTATAACAGTATCATCATCATCAGTGGTGCTACATCCCTCGTTGAGCCTCAACCTTCCTCAGTCTATTTCGCCAGTCGTTTCTGATCATCATCAACCGTTACCAGTTTGCTACGCCGATCTTCCTCGCGGCTTCGTCCACACCATCCCTACATCTCAGTCTTGGTCTACCTCTATTACTGTTTCCTACGAGTGCCGCTAATAGGGTTCATCTGGGTGGGTAATTTTTATTTGATCTTGACACATGTCAGTCCATCTAAGCCTTCCTATTTTTATGCACCTCTAGCGTTAACTATTTTTTTATAACAATCGTAAAATAGTTTCGAAACACAATTCAGATTTCTGCTTTTATCTGTGCTTTCTAAAAATTGCAAAGCAAAACAGACGTTGATAAAGGTGTTAAAAGAGACTTGGGGAATCTAAAATTTGCATTCCACGACACATCTTTTCAACTAAGCAGAAATCCTTAGCGAATTGGTTTCTTGTACTCGTACAGAGTAAATCCGAAAAAAGTGAAAAAGACAGCAAATATTTGATTTCACGCAAACAGCGCCTTTGTATCTGTTGATACGTATTTCGACCTAATAGGTCTCATCAGAACAGTTATTCAAAGGTGTTCTCAACGTGAAAGATCAATATTTCCTGTCTTTTAAGAAGCAACAATAACATGGCTTCGAATACGGACGCACTAGCGACATCTAATTTAACAATCGTAAAATAGTTTCGAAACACAATTCAGATTTCTGCTTTTATCTGTGCTTTCTAAAAATTGCAAAGCAAAACAGACGTTGATAAAGGTGTTAAAAGAGACGTGGGGAATCTAAAATTTGCATTCCACGACACATCTTTTCAACTAAGCAGAAATCCTTAGCGAATTGGTTTCTTGTACTCGTACAGAGTAAATCCGAAAAAAGTGAAAAAGACAGCAAATATTTGATTTCACGCAAACAGCGCCTTTGTATCTGTTGATACGTATTTCGACCTAATAGGTCTCATCAGAACAGTTATTCAAAGGTGTTCTCAACGTGAAAGATCAATATTTCCTGTCTTTTAAGAAGCAACAATAACATGGCTTCGAATACGGACGCACTAGCGACATCTAATTTAACAATCGTAAAATAGTTTCGAAACACAATTCAGATTTCTGCTTTTATCTGTGCTTTCTAAAAATTGCAAAGCAAAACAGACGTTGATAAAGGTGTTAAAAGAGACGTGGGGAATCTAAAATTTGCATTCCACGACACATCTTTTCAACTAAGCAGAAATCCTTAGCGAATTGGTTTCTTGTACTCGTACAGAGTAAATCCGAAAAAAGTGAAAAAGACAGCAAATATTTGATTTCACGCAAACAGCGCCTTTGTATCTGTTGATACGTATTTCGACCTAATAGGTCTCATCAGAACAGTTATTCAAAGGTGTTCTCAACGTGAAAGATCAATATTTCCTGTCTTTTAAGAAGCAACAATAACATGGCTTCGAATACGGACGCACTAGCGACATCTAATTTAACAATCGTAAAATAGTTTCGAAACACAATTCAGATTTCTGCTTTTATCTGTGCTTTCTAAAAATTGCAAAGCAAAACAGACGTTGATAAAGGTGTTAAAAGAGACGTGGGGAATCTAAAATTTGCATTCCACGACACATCTTTTCAACTAAGCAGAAATCCTTAGCGAATTGGTTTCTTGTACTCGTACAGAGTAAATCCGAAAAAAGTGAAAAAGACAGCAAATATTTGATTTCACGCAAACAGCGCCTTTGTATCTGTTGATACGTATTTCGACCTAATAGGTCTCATCAGAACAGTTATTCAAAGGTGTTCTCAACGTGAAAGATCAATATTTCCTGTCTTTTAAGAAGCAACAATAACATGGCTTCGAATACGGACGCACTAGCGACATCTAATTTAACAATCGTAAAATAGTTTCGAAACACAATTCAGATTTCTGCTTTTATCTGTGCTTTCTAAAAATTGCAAAGCAAAACAGACGTTGATAAAGGTGTTAAAAGAGACGTGGGGAATCTAAAATTTGCATTCCACGACACATCTTTTCAACTAAGCAGAAATCCTTAGCGAATTGGTTTCTTGTATTTCGCTAAGGATTTCTGCTTAGTTGAAAAGATGTGTCGTGGAATGCAAATTTTAGATTCCCCACGTCTCTTTTAACACCTTTATCAACGTCTGTTTTGCTTTGCAATTTTTAGAAAGCACAGATAAAAGCAGAAATCTGAATTGTGTTTCGAAACTATTTTACGATTGTTAAATTAGATGTCGCTAGTGCGTCCGTATTCGAAGCCATGTTATTGTTGCTTCTTAAAAGACAGGAAATATTGATCTTTCACGTTGAGAACACCTTTGAATAACTGTTCTGATGAGACCTATTAGGTCGAAATACGTATCAACAGATACAAAGGCGCTGTTTGCGTGAAATCAAATATTTGCTGTCTTTTTCACTTTTTTCGGATTTACTCTGTACGAGTACAAGAAACCAATTCGCTAAGGATTTCTGCTTAGTTGAAAAGATGTGTCGTGGAATGCAAATTTTAGATTCCCCACGTCTCTTTTAACACCTTTATCAACGTCTGTTTTGCTTTGCAATTTTTAGAAAGCACAGATAAAAGCAGAAATCTGAATTGTGTTTCGAAACTATTTTACGATTGTTAAATTAGATGTCGCTAGTGCGTCCGTATTCGAAGCCATGTTATTGTTGCTTCTTCAAAGACAGGAAATATTGATCTTTCACGTTGAGAACACCTTTGAATAACTGTTCTGATGAGACCTATTAGGTCGAAATACGTATCAACAGATACAAAGGCGCTGTTTGCGTGAAATCAAATATTTGCTGTCTTTTTCACTTTTTTCGGATTTACTCTGTACGAGTACAAGAAACCAATTCGCTAAGGATTTCTGCTTAGTTGAAAAGATGTGTCGTGGAATGCAAATTTTAGATTCCCCACGTCTCTTTTAACACCTTTATCAACGTCTGTTTTGCTTTGCAATTTTTAGAAAGCACAGATAAAAGCAGAAATCTGAATTGTGTTTCGAAACTATTTTACGATTGTTAAATTAGATGTCGCTAGTGCGTCCGTATTCGAAGCCATGTTATTGTTGCTTCTTAAAAGACAGGAAATATTGATCTTTCACGTTGAGAACACCTTTGAATAACTGTTCTGATGAGACCTATTAGGTCGAAATACGTATCAACAGATACAAAGGCGCTGTTTGCGTGAAATCAAATATTTGCTGTCTTTTTCACTTATTTTTTTATACTTTTGCGTCTGTGTTGGGAGATGGTCCATGTTTCTGACAGATATGTCAGCACTGGTAGGATTAGTGTTCTGCATATTGTTAGTTTGGTTTTTTGACTTAAATTTCCGTTTTTTAACTGCTTATTTAGTACAAAATAACATTTTGCGTGCGATCAAATCCAAATCATCAGCGTGAACCATAATCTGCTTTGACTTATTAAATATTGTCCCCCTGTTGTGTAACTTAGCATCTCTTTATAGTCTTTTCCAATGCTATCTTAAAGAGAAGACAGGCCAGCGCATTCCCCTGCCGTATTGCCGCATATGTTTCAAAGACTTATCGCCTTGTATTCGCACTCTGTATATCACTACTAATAGTTATTTTTACAAGTCGTATTAATCTATGTAGAAGTTAATTACATTCATTGCTTCATATAATTTACCTCTTAGGATGATATCGTACGCTGACTTAAAGTCCACAAAGAGATGAACCGTAACAATGTTAAATTAATTGGCATTTTCCAAGATTTGACGTAGCACAAAAATCTGGTCAATTGTTGACCTACATGGCCTAAAATTGCTTTAATATTCACCAAGAAGTTCGTCCACGTATGTACTTAAGCGGATGTACAAGTTGTTAAAGAATATTTTGTATATTGTGTTCAGACCAGTTATATCTACCAACCTAACCAACATAATTTTTAAATTTCAACAAATCTCCCGTTTTATGCAGTGCATATGATTATAGTGAACAATTCCTCTGGTATTTATTCTTCTTCCCAGACTTTAATTATTATGCCGTCAGTTTGATGCATAATGTTGTTACCTCTATGTTTGATGAGCTCTGCAGGGATAAAGTCCATTCCTTAGGATTTGTTATTTTTGAGGCGTGTGATTGCATCTCTCACCTCCAATATTGACGTAGGTTCTACAGGGGTGTTATTTTTGGCCTAAGTAGTTCTTTGTAATGCTTAACTCATCTGCTACATCACTAGTACTAACTATGCCTGATACTATAACTTGAACAGTATATCTGCTCATAAAAAGGTAAAGTATATGGAGAATGTATGAATCTACTTAAAATTAAGTTTTACAAAATGATTGTTATGGTATAAACAAAAAAAGCAAAACTTGAGATGAACATCGTTGACAGAAGTAAGTCTGCTTGAATAGATAATTTTTACAACAAATGATAGACAAAAATCTTTGGAAAAATATTTTTCCGTATTTTCTACTTTACATTTCGAACTTTGTAATCAACTTCAATGAAAGTGATACTAATAGTAATAATTTTTTATAAAACTACATTTTAAATAAATCAAAACTTACCGTCCATCGAAACGTAAAAGGCAACACCAACTTTCCTCTATCTGGATCAGCTAAGGTGAAGGAATCCCTGCCTATGACGTGGCTAGAGGTATTTCCGAAGGAGCATAGTCCATTGCTGGTCACGTTGCTCTGGTATTCTTTTAAGCACAGTCTAAAAAATGTTTGACACGGAACAGAACACCGATTAGTGACAGGCGACCGGACACCGCCCCCACAACATTCGCCGTTGGATAGTTCGCTACGCGGGTTCGACATTTCCAAAACTTGGAGTTCGAAAATTCCGGAGCCATGCGTACACTGAAACAACAACAAAATATAAGTAGTTATTACAAAAAAAAAAACAAAAAATAATAAAATTCTTTCAAATTAATAGCATTTGACAATATATAATTGATATATTTATAAATAATATTCGGTCTCATTTTGCTTATGTAAGACAAAAAATTAGATGAGCTTAAAAGTAATGAAGAATTATCGCAATGGACGTGTACGAACTTATCACTTTATAGCCTCTCATAAAATTATTAGACCGCCCGAGATATAGCAAACTGATCACCGGCATCCTTTGGAGACGCGTAATGTCATCTCTACCGATAGGTAAATTCATCACCAGCATTTTTGTTCCAGAGCGCTGCTTTCTAATACTGAAGATTGCCTGTTGGTTGTTAGATATTTTGTTTACATGGTAGTCTATTAAAGTTAGAAATTAGTTAGAGCAAATTGCTTTAAAATTTAACTGGTATAAACAAACAACACAAATTGCCAACAACAACTCAAACTGAGCTTTGCAAACCACACTCCTAGACAAAAAGACCAGTGTTGGAACGCCACAATACAGCATTGGTGACATTACAAAGATAGGCGACCAAAAGGAAGACCACAGATGAGATTGGTACAAGGTATGCTGCTCAGGATAGAGATTTATGGAAGAAGTTGGAAGAAATCTATGTTCAAAAATAGACGACAGAAGGCTAAGAAGAGTGATATGAGAAAATATATGACCGAAGGAGAGAGTTGTAACATAAGTATGGGTATTTCGTGAGGTTTGTCTTGTCTTATCAATATGACGGTATCATCATTGGCATAACCCAGGAGTTCTGCTCGTGAATTAAGCCGACGCTGTGGAGATAGTGGTCATTGGTAAAATGGAGAGCAACTTTAAAATAAGGGTGGATAGGTAGATTGAACAAATAACGATCTAGATAAATGAAAAAAGGTTCGATTTGACACCACAAAAAACACAAGCAAATCTATTATTAGGGTACAGAAAATTGTGAGAGGTAGATATCAGCGTAAAATAAGTGCATGTTAGTACGATATCCTCCGCTAAATTTGTAGCAGAAACTTGGAATGGCTGCCCACAATTAGACTTATGTAAAGGAAAGCACTTCTCAGAGTTTGTAACAATTCAGGCTGCGCTACTATCACTGGATCTGAGGACCGTGTTAATGATTTTAGCCGAAAGGGTGCTGAGGGATACCAAAAATTTAAATGATAGGAATGGATGAATGGCCAACTAAATGGACGTAAGCGACGGAAAGACTGAAGGACTCGTTGTCTTATCACTAACCTTAAGACATGGGTCGGCGTTGAACTCAAATTTTCATTGAGTATAGCGAAGGTATCTGGCATAAGGGATATGATATCTTTTAAAGCCTAAGATAAAAAAAAGACTGACTCGAATGAAAGAAACCAAAGAAATAATAAGGTTAATTAAAAGTTTATGATTAGGACAATTATTTCATGAGTGAATATAATTATGAAAAATATTAAAAATGTATACTAAAATATTAAGATTGGTGAGCTATTTAGTATAAAATTCATAGTTTAGACACAAACTACCATGTAAGAGCTATTATTAGAAACTTTTCGTCTTTTTGTTCAGCATAAACACTTTCAATACAAAGCATTCAACTATAGGAAGTAATAATACGACAAAAGTGATCCGGTAAACCATTATTTTGGTCGCGCCTATTGTCAGCAGCCTCAACATAAAATTAAATAAATTGAATCACGTAAAGTAACTCAGTTATGGTTATTATGATTCGAAAACTTTTTCTATTATATTAATTCATTGGAGATGATTCAGTGGAAAAATGGTCTACTTGTATTGTGTACCATCAGCGTTATTTATATACAGAGGTGTATTGAGTATCAGCTTTGTTACCTATATTACTTTATGTCGTTAGGATTTCTAAGACCTTTAGTTTTAACAATGAATTAATCAATAAATAATTTGATTTCTCGTAAAATTAAATTCCCAAGATATCTCCGCTCCCTTCAGCTAGTAAAGAAATTTATAACTATGTACCTCAATTTAACAGCAAGACACGTTGTCGACAATAGTTTTAAAATACTTAAATACCTTTAATGCTCCTCCAAGCATTATATATAATGAAAATAATAATGAAATTCCTACTAGTATTGCAGGTTTGGATACCTCATAATCGAATATGATTGCATTGGGACATCTGAACTAAGAAAACATAACATCTGCTGCTGAACAGCTTAGAAATGAGTTCAATTCGACTTTATAAATAAAGAAAAAGTTCCATGGCAAGAAAATCGAATGCTTAGAAACAAAAAATTGATAAAAGAAGCTTTATTCTAGTCTAGATAGACAAATTATAGGTAAAGTAAAATAGGATGTATATAAGATTAAATTAAAAGTAGAATTCCTCTATTTATACCGTAAAAAACAAGATATTTGCATTAATTAAAAAAATATGTTGGAAACGACTGCTGAAACGCAGGTTGTCCGGGACGATAACTTCTAGCGCCACCTACAAAAGAAATCTGAACTAACAACTGACATTTTAACCTACTTAGTCTTAATCAATTGTGCTTTGTTCTTAAAACGATACAGCTGATTTATTGCTAACTCAGTCTATAAATTGATGATTACTCCTACCTTACTCGAAAATTTTACTATTTTTTTTGCAAAATTTCCAAAAATATTGTTAACTGTAATTTTAAGGTAACATTTATTAAGCAAAATAATTTAAAGCTGTATGTTACCAATTTTAGTTACGAATATGGTGATTCCTAAAGATATTGGAGGAAGATACAATAAAATGAGTGGAGTGCCTTTAGATTGCAATTTATTTTATCCCCCGTCGCATAGGGTAAGATCACCGATCTTTAAATAAACATTTTATTATATTATTGGAGTTAGTCGTAGAATTTGTGACAAAAGTAAAGTTTCATTACGATTTCTTCAGATACCTGAATAAAGGAAAGGCAAAGATAAAATCAAGTGCAGACATATTTGTCTATGTTAAATCAGTGTGTCTCTTGATGTATAAGCTGTCTTGGTTTCTTCAGATAATTGTCGGTGTTAATTTTTAATATATTAAGAAGTACAATTTGTAGAAATGTAATTTAAATCAGAATATGCAAAAAAGAACATGCACTTCATTATAGTACCTCGCTAATTACATATACATGAATCCTGTCCTGCGTAACCTATCCGTAAGTTTAGTACTGGTTAAAAAGTAATAGCTGAACAATGCCCATAAACCATTAGGAGTTTTTTAAGATTAAATGGTTTTAACTTGGTATCGTTTTTGCTGGACTTCGATTTGTGGTTGTGCTCAATGTGCCGCGGTAAGAAGAAGAGGTCTAAAAGGAAACTACTTCACGACCCATTATTCATTACGAAATTCATTGTTAAGAGATAATGGAGTCTATTAAAAGTAAGCCAGGAGGAATGTCAGGGTTTTTTAAATTGAAAATTGTTTTTTAAACCGTGGAACGTGTTTTTAAAGTAGAACTTTGAGTTTTTATTCGCTGGTAGGTTTATTACAAAAACGTATTTTCACATACACATTCACACACACATACATATATTCTTGGATAGGGTTTTAGTGACTATATTAGGATTAGTACATATAGATATTTTGGGTTTGTAGTCATCTATTGACCTTTAAGTAAAACTCTTTAAGGTTTGATATAAGGTTGAATGCTCGAATAAATGAATAAAAGGCAGATATCGAGCCCAGTTTTATTAATTTAATCTGGCCCAAGTACTTTCGCTCCCTAGAGCATTTCGTCAATTGCGGCCTATCCAACAAGAATAAAATGTTAAAATAAAATTAAACATCACACCACACTACACAAGGACAAACACTTAAAAAAAATCCACAAATAAAATAATTCCTGCAGCTGGCTGTATACCACGTATCACAAAAAAGAGGTTAAATCTTTGTAAATGGGTATATTTAAAAAAAAAACCTTAAAAGGGCTACATCAATTACACGAACGTTTTCGGAATAATAATTCCATCATCAGGTTTAAAATGCAAATTAACATGCCTGAGCCACCAAATTATCAGGGTAAAACCCCTTTAAAATACATATGGTTACAAAAGATTGTACATAATGTTGTTAATCACATTTGATGTTTAATATTAAATTAAATTTGACTTTAGGTAACATACACCCATGTCTTAGGTGAGTTCCAGTTGGCGGAGAGTAAACCTCTTCAAACGGTTTTCCCGTTTCCCAAAGTCTGAAATATGAGGATGGGGTAAACGAAAAAGCAAAGAAGATTTAGCGCGGCAAATTGACAACGCTTGGCAGTGGATAGAACTGACTGAACAAACAGGTTTATGTCTTTCCTGTATTTAAATCTCCTTTGTCCATTTTTAGTTTAATATAACCCTACTTTTGCTATGTGTTATTTTATTACAAGGACACGGTGCCACTAGCACTTCATACGTCTAAATACCTGTACATACGGTTAGTCTTACTGATTGATGAAGTTTAATGTGGGTAGTTTGTTAGTAATCATCTACTTCATCTTGTTTATGTTAAGATTTAAACCGTATTCGTGGCTGGCCTTCAATATACGCGTGGTTAGAAGAAGCACTCATTACTAAAAGGACTCCATCAAAATAAATTGATCAAAAGGAATATACATTATACAATTTCTGGAATTTTTTAAATTAAAAATGTTTATTCACCTACTTTTAGAGGTGTATTAACGATATGTAGATAGAATATTGTAGTACCTTAAGAGATTAGCTAATCATTTTCGACATCGAGTTCATGCCGACCGGCCTTCTTCGATGTACTCGGTAATTCATTGAAACCGTCAGTTGACATGAAGAATGTAGATATTAATTCATTGGGAGTAAGACAATGGATTCATGAGATGCGACGTGTAGATAAAGAAGAAATCTTCTTTATTCTATTTCCATGGAATGTTTTCAAGAGTATGTGACAGGGTGACTCTATCAAACTCTTACATCAATCTGTACCACAGTAATACAATTAAAAGTGTCGTAAATGTATAAA